ATTGCTATTGCTATTTTCATACACTTCCTGGGTCCTACGTGTACACAGATGAAGCTTTACTGAGTTGCGTAGCCCACTTCCTGTCCACAGTCCTTGAGTTGGGGACTCCTGGTGTAGAGGATTATAGAAAAAGCCTTGCAGAAAAATTGTGGCAGCTGTTAAGAAAACACGGATTCACCCCAGGAAAACAGGTAAGGGTGAGAAAGAACCTCAAGGCTGCCCTGCCTTGATGCTCTTTGGTGCCAAAGGGAGCGAAGGGATGATGCTTTCAAGATTCTGCTCCTATAACCCCTATCAGTAAAGTCAAACTCTAATATTTCTTGTGTTATTGGCTTCCGGCCTGGTCGACCTTGAAAGACTGACAGATGGAGAAACCCCAAAGAGTCCATGTTTCCAAAGGGACAGTTGTCCAGGTGGTAAAGAATTAGACTGTACGGGGCCTGTTGATTGGGGGGTGGGATCTTCCAATGCCCTTGAAGGAAGTCCTGTCATCCGAGAGGAGAAACTGGGTTCCTGAGAGAAGGAATTGGCTGAGGAGGACTCAACTATCTATCTCGGGTTCTTCAGAGGTCACATGGCGAGGACTGGATTAGAACACCAAACAGAAGAGCTGAGGCCTTTGGCAAAGCTGGGAGCAGTCTCTTAATTAGAGAGACATTTTGGTCTCTGATGGAAAGGGAAACAATCAGAAGTTATGTCTTTTGTTGGCTTTCATCATGTCTTATGTGTAACAAGGAACATTTCTGTTCCTTTCCACCAGATCATCAATCATGGCCATCAGTTCGGCCACCTGAGCATCTCGTTCTTCCCCTTCGGCCTGGTTGTTGAAAGCCAGTATCCGGTTCCCACATTCACCAATGTATCCCTTCAGGTCTTCAGCTTTGACAGATATATATTGTTCTAGAGGTTGACCTTTCAGGCGATCTTTGCAGGTGAACAAGAGGATTGTGTAATTCGTGGCTTCAGAGCCAAAAACCTCTTTGATGAGCTGAGTCACCTCCATCTCCTTCCGGATGAAATAACCAAGAGGCATCACATGCAGAATGACATGGGGACCTGGAGAGCAAAATTTCACGCACTTCCTCATTTCTGCAGCAATGTCCTCCTGTGGATGTATGGTAGGGAAAAAGCCAGGCATATCAACAACCACAACCTTCCTGCCATTGAGCTGTGCTTCCTCCTTTTTGCATACTTTTGTTACTGGCCAAGATGATGTACCAGTCTCAAAGACTTTGCTTCCCAGAATTGTGTTTCCTGTGGCACTTTTCCCATTTCCTGTTTTGCCCACCAGGACGATCCTCCGTTCAGGCCCTGCAACCCAAACGGGAGAGGAGAGAAGAAGGGGACACGGTCAACAGCNCATCAACACAAAAGGGAGTTTGCTCAGAAGCTGAAATACACCAAGTGAATTAGAGGAAGAGTGGGAAGCAGAGGAGAGAAGAAAGATAGGAAGAGAGGGACAGGAGAGAGGGTGAGGGGAGGGTGGGTAGATGAGGTGTATAAGGAGGAGTGGTAAGGGAAGAGAAGGGAAGGAGAAAGGAAGGGGAGGTAGAGTAGAAAAGAATGATGGAGGGAAGAAAGGAGGTAGAGAGGGGGAGGAAAGAGGGGGAAGAAAGTGTCTGATAAGGTATAAATATGGTGTATGGAGAGCAGAAGAGCCAATACCTGGTTGTTGTTGGGGGTTTTTTTGGTAGTTGATGGCAAGAGGAATTGAGGTAATCACTTAATAATACAACATGATATTGGCTATTTAATAGTATACATGTGATTATATGCTATGAAAATGGAAAATTAAAAAAATTTATGCAAAAAAAAAGAGTGGAAACATCTCAGAGAAAAACCTACTCCAAGAGTCCTTTCTTACCTGTGTTGCTTGTGTGATGTACATAGAAAGGGGCAGGGCTTCTATTGTGCAGTTGTGACTGGCTTTTTTTGACCCCTGGACACCCTGGGAATTGCTACACGTTTTGAGTTTCCGAATTGACATTGTCACTCTGATAGCTAGTTTCCTTGTTGAAACGTACCTTCAATTTACCTTATGTATTTTCTGTGCAGAAAGTTACCCTGGAATTCTATATTGACATCCATGCTCACTCCACTATGACGAATGGCTTTATGTACGGGAATGTTTTTGAAGATGAAGAAAGATTTCACAGGCAGATTATTTTCCCGAAGCTGCTCTGTCAGAATGCTGAAGACTTCTCCTTTGTAAGAAACATTTCTTTTAATGCATGCCTTTTTATTAAAAAAATATTTTTTTAATAGTAGTAAATAGGATCTAGTCATAAAACTCCAGAAATCTAACAATGAAATAGAAATTAGCCAAACATTTTAACAGTTAGATCCAGCTAACTTTTCCAGAGCAGACAAAGATTTATATGATGATTTACAATGACAATTTTCACATAACACCCAATAATATAATTATTAATAGTAATAATAATCTGTGACATAAATCAGTGTTGGGATTCAAATAATTTAATCACCGGTTCTCTGCCCTTGTGACCAGCTGGGTAGAGGTGTCTGGGTATTCATGTGACTGGGTGGGTGTGGCCAACGTGACATAACTTATGTTGAGAGGCACCTCACCTCACCCCTTCAGCCACTCCTTGTCATGCCCAGCTACTGGCTCTGCCACCCAGCTGGGCGAACAGCCGGGTGGCCAGGTGAGCAGCTGGGCAGTGAGGTGAGGAGTGGCTGGGAGGGGAAGGGCAAGGTGGGGTCAGGCATGGGGAGGCACACTATTCAGCCGGTTTGCCGAACTGCACAAAAAATTAGCTACTGGTTCTATGAACCAGCTGAATCCCACCACTGACATAAATTCTTGAACAATACAACTACTTTAAAGGCAGAGTGACTTCAAAAGGATTTTCAAGAGAATGGTGGAAAATGTCTACTGTGCTCTTAAAATTATACTGAATGTGTTTCAAAGTCGCTGCTGAAGTTATTAATTAAGGTTCAGCAGAAGGTTTCCCCATTACATTTCAAATGTCTTTGGACTACAACTTGAAGAATGACCCATAACAAGTTCACGGGAGAAAATAAATCCTTTTTCCAATTTCTGAAGCTTACTAACCATAGCTTTTTGTAGCTTAAAGTGTGGTATATTCTTCTGCATTTTATTCTGATCCATCTTGTATATGCAGGTAGAATAAGGCAGCTCGCTTTGGAGACATAATTGGAGAGGGATACATCCTAAGCTATTCCCCATGATTTACTTTCCTGGGCCAGTTTGGCAGAAAGGCAGTCAGTTATATCTCCATAAAATTGTGGCCCTTTTTCTTATTGGTTACTTGTGTGCTTTTGTACCCTGAATAATGTTTCAAATAATATAATAAAATTATGTATAGATTTCCCCAGATCATTTACCTGGAAATTCATTGATTTTACTGGACTGCAATCTTGTATGATTTTCAGTACTTTTTCATAAGGTGTCAGAAAAAAGAAAAATCTCACACATTTTCTCCAAAAGAAATATTTTCCAAGGAATGGAGGTTCAGCTTTAGGCTAAACGAATTGCCATATTCAAAGTGTTAACTATTATCTTTGAATAGCAGATGTCTGGGACAAACAACTAGGGAATTCTAATACCTTTCCCTGTCCCTTTCTAGACACATAACATGGCAAACCTGGAAATAGCACAATGGATTAAATGGATTTTTGGTTTGATATAACAAGGCAGCCCTTCCACAAGCACAAAAATAGGTCTTTTCATGCAAGCAATTTTCATTTTCTATATTGTATGACATTTTTTTCCCAATTATATTAAACAATAGTAATTTCTTCCCCTACTATGACTTTCATGTCCCTTGGTACTTTACTTTTATGATGATGGGAGTCTAGCCAGCAAGCATTACCAGCTGATATTTCAACTGATGATTCATGTTTAATTATATATTATTCCAATCACAGCCCATGTTGTAATCACCTATGGTAAAGATATAAGGACCTGAGGAAGAAAGAAAGGAAGCTAAAAGGCATTTTGCCCTTTTGCTTCACTGACAAGAGGAATTAAAAAAGCAGCTGAGTCCGCATATTAGAAGCAAAGCAGTCAACAAAGTCCATTTGTCTACTGGCAGTAATACTAGCTGGACTATTCTTTCTTTTCAAAGAGTACTAGAGAAAATTGTTTGCCTCTCCTGGGTTCATTTAATACAAATTTGCAAACAAATTATGCATTATAGACTTGAATAAATTGACATGGCCTTCTTTGTCACCCTTAGATATGTATTTCCAGGAAAGTTAGAGGATCAAGGGATCAATCAACTTTGTTTCCAGAAATGCTAATTATGGTCCTAATGCAGGGAAAGGAGGCACAGTTGTAATAGATATTAGATTGATTAGTTTGGGTTGCCTTAAATTCTGGGCTTGTTTTCTGGCATTCTCCCTCCAATATTATCTGGTTCAGATAGTGTTGTCTATTTTATGTGCTCATTCATTTGCCAAAATAGGGATGATATATCCCATTATTTAATAAAAAGCACATTTGCATTTTCTTTTTTTTTCAAGAAAACAAGCTGCAGCCAGGACTGACCCAGAAGCAACATAAGAATAAGATCCATTGAAAGCATCTCTGAGATTATTGTTCTCTCTTAAAGTTTCTGCTAAGTCTGATTGAGTTAAGGAACAAAAAGCAGCGAGAAAATTTTTAAACAAAATCCCCTCTACACTTCAGTTCATAACACCATTTAGCATGCAGAATAGTTTTCCCTTTGATGTACAATATTCATACCATTAATAATGAATGAGTATTTTTTAAGGCAAGATGCTTACACTAAGTCTCCTGTGCTGCTGATATATTCGTGGCAGAATAGAATTCACCAGCATTGTTGTCATTTTGCTTGTTGGGAATAAGTACAGGATTTGCAGCTTGCATGAAGATCAACTAAAGACCAAAGTTTAGATGAATTTGTTTAAGAAACAACCCCCTGGAAATATTTTAGTTGAATATTTAATTGGACTCGGAATTAGCATAAATCTATACTTGTGTGAGGAGTTTATTCTCACTGATGAAATGTTACTCTGAAAATATGATTGTTACATGGCTAACTTCTCTCCTCGTGCTCCTTCAATTCATACCTTGCTGCTGCCTTATAATGATTATTATAAAAGCAGGCATATTTTTTCAACCATGACACTCACCCAAATTGCAGTTAAAAAATAAACATTTTGTCTGGGAATGTCTTTTACAGAACAGAAACTGCAGATTTTCTGGTTTTATTTCTGCTCCTCCAATTAACAAATTCTACTCAGAATTGGTAGCTTACTATAGAACACCTATTTGTGCAGCTACTGCGGGAAATGAAACTGCATTTATTAAGGTGGGATCAAATGGCTATTTGTGAACATTTTAGGTTTCTTCCCTGTAAATTTTGGCTAATGTGCAAAATATCTCTATTGTTATGTTCCTCCCACAACAGAGCTGTGATATTTGAACTAAGCATAATATCATACTTATTAGATGCAGTTGCCCACACGGAATAAATATTTTTGGTATTAAATAATAATGAACTCTATAAGCAAGTTAGAACTTAAATCTTCACATTTGTACATTAGTTATCAAATTATGAAATGTTGCTCAAAAAAATTCTGTTTTCTCATCTTCTGAAGGAACGCCTCATTATATGATTAAAATAGAAATGGATGGTATTGATTTAAGGCTAATTCTCTCTCATTAACATTAGAATTAGAAAAAATTGCTGGACACTCTCCTGTAGTCATTTAAAGATTCATGTGATTTTACTTCCATAACTGGTCTATTAACAAGAATCAATGGATAGTTATCGCATACAAGAGACTAATTCATATCCTGGGCATTAGCTCCAGTTCATGCATAATAATCATTGGGATGTAGTAAGTTAAGATTCAGGCAGAGTGTCTGATAATAGACCTGAATTCAAGCCTGTCAAATAAGAGAACCCTGAATAGGGATCTTGAGGAACTGCAGCTTCTAAGGTTCCTAATGAACTGATCATTTTGCTGTATCATCCAGCAGGCTTGAAGCAAAGAGGAAATAAAAGAAAGGAAACATGTTGGTTCCAGACCAGAAAACTGATTTATACCTTATTCATGCTCCTAAAACCTCAGGCTTCCTTTGCTAATGTGAATTAGTTATTAGTAAAATCGCCATTAAAAATGACCAAGATACTGAAATTAGTACGTTCTGCTGTTAAATGCCATGTGGGATCAATCATCCATTAGTTCCTTGCCCATTTCACAGTTCATCTCAAAATGTTGGTGCTCAGTTTTTACAACCCTGTAGCATGGCCCAGGAACATCTGTACAACCTGCCATTGACTATGGCCATCACTTGGGTTTTTTCCTCCTTCTGATAACCCTTCCGTCTGAGTTGAAGTTGATAGCAACCAAGGAATAGAGGTTTTCAGTTGTGATGTCCCAACTTAGGAATTGATTCTCCTGGGACATTAGACCATTTAAAGATTTTTTAAATAAAATTATTAGGAACAGGATGCAGAAATATTTAGTTCAGGCTCTTGAATTTGCTGACTATCAATCTGTTGACAATCTTTCTATTCTGGCAGAGGCAGTAGAAAGAAGAGGAGATTAGGAGAAAAAGTCTGTTTACAAAATGCCGCTTGATTACAAACTTGTCCATTTTGTCCAGCATTAATAAAAGTGAAGATTTCAGATGTGAAAAGACCTCTTTTTTTATTCTCCATAGGACCAGGCTGAACCCAAAGGAGGGGCCAAATGGGTCATAAGTCAAAAGTCCCTGCATGCCCAAAAGAGAGCTAAGTCCAGCCCACCTTGAATGCCTTCTTAATTCCCGCTCATTTCCCTTGACAATTAGTTACTCAGATTCTTGTAGAGAGCTTTAGCTTGCAATAAATCTTTATGCTCATTTCAATTGCTTGACTCTCCTGATTCCCCTGGTGTGTGACATTCTCTTCCTCAATCTTTGTTCCTAGGCAGATATTTTTACCTATTTTAACCAGTGATCTAACTTCAGGTTGCCACAGTGTTGATTTTGCTCCTATACATGCACATATCAATGTGTGACACAATTTATGAATGCCCCTTTAGTCCCCCCCCCCAAATGATAGGATAAATGTCAGTTTCAGAAAAGGACAAAAAGACAATTTCTTCATAAGGTTCCAATCAAAATTTGTTTATTTAAATTTTTGACAAAGTCCAACATACAACATTTCAACCTCCCCAAATTCCTCCACATATAAATGTAATGACAGAAAAGATGAAATTATTAACTATTAGTATACTTCCTAGTATTTTTTTGGGATAAAGTGGTGACAAATTGCATTAAAAATGAACAAACCATATAAGGAATAGTTATATAATTATTTATAAATAATTCCATCTAAATTTAATCTATCAATTCTACACACACAAACACAGAAACACAGAGACACACAGACACACAGACACACAGACACATACAGACACAGAGAGAGAGGAGAGAGAGAGAGAGAGAGAGAGAGAGAGAGAGAGAGAGAGAGAGAGAGAGAGAGAGAGATTATCTCTAAATCTCATTCATTATAAAAGCGAGATGTTGTGGATGTGGCTTGGTGGCAGGGGAAGGATATTGCAAAATCCCCATTCCCTCCCCACTCTTGTGGGAAGGTTATTGCAAAATCTCCATTCCCACCCCAATCTGGAACCAGCCAGAGGTGGTATTTGCTGGTTTTCCAAACTACTCAAAATTTCTGCTACCGGTTCTCCAGAACCTGTCAGAATCTGCTGAAAGGCTATTAACAATATAGAAAGTGTCAACAATTATAATAATTATAATTTAAGTACATTTTCTCCTTAGAATCCAACCTAAAACTTAATTTTGGGAGGTAATGCATACCTGTAATTGCATGTCCAAAGTGTATACTCTATAGTGCATTGGGCCACAATGCTAGAGGAGAATGGCGTACCTTCCTGGTTTCTATGTTCTCAGTGACTATCTCCTACAAATTATTATTTATTTTACTAAGTAAAATGTTTACACACAACTTTATCAACATTCTTGCAAGGAAACTGGTTTCAGTTTATTTGTTCATGTTTTTAAAATGCAACTTTAAGAAAAGAACTGCAGGGCTCCTCAGATGTGGTCACAATTGCATCACAAAATTGGTATCTTATTCGGAGTTTATGAAAGGGAACTGGGAAGCGTAAAACAAAAGAACTAATAAAAACATCTACATACATGGAAGACTTAATGCATTTCATGCTAGATCTCTATCAGATGTACTACACAAGAGCTCTTTGTGATATTCTTGGTGCTTAAGCAAGTCAACAGTTGACAGAAATGTGATTTGGCTTATAGAATTTACCTAACTTCCTGGTGTGGGGGAAGCCCCTCTCAATGCAAAATCCCATTTCATCCACTCTCATCTTTTTCTTACTAGTCAAGCACCTCCTTCAATCGAGATGCTGTTAAGGCAGGGACAGGACGTCGCTTCCTTGGTGGCCTACTGGATGACACTTCTTACTGCTATACACTGGAAGTCTCATTTTACAGCTACATAATTGGGGGAACCAGTTCTACAGTCCCATATTCAGAAGAAACATGTATCCTTTAAAGGAATTTCTCTTTGCTCTGCAAGATCTGGAAACTGAAGGTAAACCAAATCCTTAGTAATTAGTGTTTGTAATGATTCTGTCTTAGGAAATGGATTAATGGGATGACAGTGACTTAGAAAAGTTATTAAATGAGATTTCTCATGGAAACATTTCTTCTACATGGAACTTAATCTTTAAATGGCCCTTCTGGGAGGGTTTCAGAGGTGGTATTCAATAGGTTCTGACCAGTTCTGGAGTACTGGTATCGGAAATTTTGAGTAGTTCGGAGAACCGGTAAATACCACCTCTGACTGGCCCCACCTCCATCTATTCTCTGCCTACCAAGTCACTGGCTGATCAGGAGGAAATGGGGATTTTGCAGTATCCTTCCCCTGGAATGGAGCGGGAATGGAGATTTTACAATATCCTTTCCCTACCATGCCCACCAAGCCACACCCACTAAGCCATACCATGCCCATCAAGGCACGCCCACAGAACTGGTAGTGAAATTTTTTAAATCCCATTACTGGAGGGTTTGCCAAAGTTCCTCTACCAAACCAGGAAGATTGTTCCTTTATGATTTTTGGCTCCTTCTGCCTTCTCAACCCTTTGTGCCTCTTTGTGTAGTATGGCTCCCAAATCTACTGAGCAGCTTTTCAGGAGACCTACATGTGGATTAAAGAGAAGGACACAGAGAAAGGGGACAGGGCATCTTCTTATTGGGAACTGCCTTAAGTTATCCTTATATATAAGATTATTAAGCTGTCCTTATATCCTTTGGGATAATATATTGTGGAAACAAATGTATCCCCCATCTGCTCATTCCTCATACAAGCAGAATGATCTAAATGTATACCACATTATGTGACAAGTGGTAAATTTGTTATCTCTTAAATCTCTGCTGAGCCTTGGCCAAAGTTGCTAAGAAACAATTTTAGTCTGTGGGAGAAAATGCTAATGAGTATTCCAGAAAGGCTATCCTTCTTTTGGTTATGTTCTCTTTTTGTCTCTTTCTTGGGGAAAAAAATATTATTATTTTCTCCCCTTTGAGGGATGAGAGCGGATTGGCCTCTTTATGTCCATGCAGGTTCAACTTATACAGATGTAACTACATCCCTCTTGCTTCATACACTATCGCTATCAGACAGCCAGAGTAGAGAATAAAATGTAGATAGGAATTACTATATTTTGTGGTGCTTTTCAGAATGGTTGAGGCCACGGTTTGATTTCCATAGACATAGTTGATCTGTTATTCCAAAACTATCACAAGCTGATTTGAACAGGTGGATATGGAAAATATAAGCTTAATAATCAGGGGTGGGTTTCAAAAATTGTTCGAACCTACTCTGTGGGCGTGGCCTCCTTTGTGGGAGTGG